TATATGGGCTCGGCTTGGCCTGAGCCCAACTTTTAAATTTAGGCTCGAGCCAAGCCCAAGTTTTTTGGGCTTGACCGAGCTCGGCCTATGGGAAGCTTTAATAACACTATATAAATATCATTTATATAACATTCTTAAAATGATACTGATATATTAAAATATAATGTTCTAGTGTATTATTTGAACATTTTATACTTATAGTATACTAAAATACAATATTTCACAAGTCAAAAATAAAGAATTGTCATATTTAAAGAAATTTTAATTTTAACTAATTTATAATATAAGATACAATAAGACAATTGATTTTTTACCAATTTTTAGCTAATCTACAATATAGAAATTATTATTTGATATAGTGATTCTTTTGTATTTGACTAGTGTTTTAATATATTTTTAAATGTTTCATATTTATAGTATATTAAAATATAATATTCTAATGTGTTATTTGAATATTTCATATTTATAATATACTAGAACACAATGTTTTAATGTATTATTTGAACATTCTGTATTTATAGCATACTAAAATGTCTCTATAAAATTTCTGATATATTTTTTTAACAATTATCATATACACTAATCAAAAATTTGTAAATATTATATCTATTGGATATCCGATAGGTGTAGTATTTATAAATTTTTGATCAGTAATAGAAAGATATATAATACTAAAGTATTTAGTATTACAGTAAAAAGATTAATAAAACTTGAATTCTGTTATATCAACAAATCTTTTTAGAAATTAAACTTAAACAGGAATTACAAATTATATTATTATATAATAATTTGTTAAAACCTTATTAACTAAAAAATTTTTTCTAGTTAATTATTTTCAAAGTTATTTTACTAAACAACTTTATCTATTGTACACATATCAAGTATACAATTTGACCAGTACTTTTTTATATACTTATTATATGTTAAGTTTACAAATAAAAAAAAAATTTAATATAAAATAGAGTGGAATATTTATAAGTTACAAAATAAAATATCATATTTTTATACAACTGGTATTTTTTTTTTGATTAAAAAATCAATAATATATTAAATACTATAGTATTTAGGTAACACATATACTTAAAACTGAAGAAAATTTATAGTGTTATAAGATATTATAAGATATTGTAACCTTTATCTTTAATTTTTCAAAGTAAAATATTTAAAGGACCTCCTTGTAGCTGTTTTTAAAACCAGTTGTAATAGCTTCCCAAGTTGATAATAACAATATTATTAACTTTTCACAAACAATGAGTATCTCAAGTGTTATCTCCAATTATACTAAAGCTAACACCTTCACCTTCGGTATTTATATTATTATTAGATAATTTCAAAAAAAAAATCTAATCGAGTATCTAAAGCTAACACCTTATAATAAATTAAAATAAATTTTGGTAGACATACCGTTAATAACGTATGTATTAATACTTTAAATGTATAAATGGATGAGTAATGAAATAACATTCGACAGATGAAATTACCATATTAATATAATTTTGTCCATAGTCTTTGTTGAAAGACTTGATTTGGCAAAGTCACCAGGTAAAAAAATGACTTCATTGTTCGTCAATTTGTGTTGTGTTTCAAATTTCGACTCAATTATTGGTTCACAATACCCGAATATTTCTAAAATGGATCTTTCGTGTAGCCTGATTTTAACAATCTGATCGTATTTTGCAGTTTTTCGCAGTTAGTTATTAAAGGAAAAAAAAACTTTTCTGTATTACAAAATTTTTCACACCCCTTCTTTTTTAACTTTTACGCCTAAATAATTATCTTTTATTTTCTAGACACTATTTTTTTTTTTTTTTTTTTTTTAATACAATATTTTATTTACTTTCCGAACATTATTTGTTTTAGTTGAACCTCGGAAACCACTGATAATCACAAGTATATAAGGAGCAAAAATCCCAGATTATTTCCTTACATTTTCTTTCTCTCAACTTTATCAAAGAGGTGAGATATAATAATGTACGAAATAATAATCAATACCTTTTACAATACAGGAATTACAAAAAAATTATCGACACTTGTTTCAGTTAGTATAGAAATTAGTTCAACGTTTTCACTATACTTTTTATTTTATAACTCCACTCGCAATTTATGGTTGAAATTAGTTAGTTTAGTACTTTCTTTATACTTCTTATTCTACTTTCTCCTTCGATCCTCGCTTTAACGTTTAACAACCCAATATTACTATAGTATAGAAAATAGGTTAGCGCTTTCATAATTTTTTTCCGTCCTTTGACAATTTACAACTCAATACTCGTAATTATGGATGAAATTAGTTTAATAACTTTCGACATTCAACATTCGTCTTGAGATTGACAAACCAAAGTTATTGATTTTAGTTTAGTTATAATTTTTATTTCGCTCCATTATTACTATTATTACTATTATTACTACTACTTTATTACGCTATTACCACTATAATATATTTGGGTTGGGGCAAATAAGAGAAACAAACGGAAACAACATAAAAGCGTCACTTAGTTTCTTATCATAGCTTTTTACATTATTTTCTAATCGTTTACTTTTTCGTCACTTTTTGTCGTTACTTTTTTTTTGTTATTTACTAACTTTATACATTTTTTTTATATTATAACAGAAATAATGATGAACGTGAACGGTAACTATTTACCATTGCAACCTACACAACAACAACAACAACATCAACAACAACAACAGCAACCACAACAATCTTCACAAATGGCGGCGCCTCCGTTGCCGCAACAGTCCACACAAGCACCTATATCCGATATCCAGATCCGAAAAGAACAACAGACAATTTTTAAGGCATTTATATATGATTACCTTAAAAAGAGTGGGTTGGCGGATGTAGCCCGTGCTTATTTGCGTTCCGTGGATATAAATAATTTTATAAAGACTGATGGATCTTCAATAAATGATGGAGAATCACTTCCTGAAGTCACCCTCCCTCTCCCAATACAGTCTGAGGAGGGGTTTCTCTACGAATGGTTTGTTATATTCTGGGACTTGTACGATCAACGACGGACCGAAGCCGGACAAAGATATATGGACCAGGTAATTAATTACGTATTTGAATTCTTTTGAATTGAATTGATTATTAATTTTTTGATAACATCTAATTTTTTCTTTTATCAAAGATACGTGCTCGAAACGGGAGATATCGGGTGATGCCTGATACACTTCCGGTCAACTATGCGAACATGACAACTGGACAAACCGGCATTCAACAACCACAAAGAATGCAATATCCACACCACATTACGACACAACCGATGCAGCAGCAGCAACAACAACAACAACAACAACAACAACAGCAGCAGCAGCAACAACAACAACAACAACAACAGCAGCAACAACAGCAACAACAATCAGTTGCTGTTCCACCAGTTCCACCCCAACAACCCTCACAACCAGCGCAACAGACACCACCACAGCTGCAACCACAACCTTCAGCTCAAACACCACAGCTGCAAACGCAACCACCTGCAGGTTTACATCAACATCATCACCCACAAGCACATTTCTCCCAACAACGAATTCCAAATGGGGTAATTCCATTAAACGTTGAAGCAACCAATGGCGAAAACATGAATTCCATATCGCCTCATCAACGATCTAATGTTAATTTAAAGAATAACATGTTGCGAAATCCTCGAAATGCAACGTAAGTAAATTAAGCTAAAGTTATAAAAATAATATAATAATGATAATAATGATATTAAAAATATTGAAATTAACATATTTATTTTTTATCTTAAATTAAGTGCATTGAATCAATTACAACAACCCAATAGTAGAATGATTATGCAACAACAACAAGCAGCTCAGCAGCAACAGCAAGCTCAACAAAATGCACAACAACAGCAACAACAACAACAACAACAACAACAACAACATCATGTTCAAGCTCAATCGCAAGTTCCTCAAACGCAATCATCAGTACAAAGTCAAGTTCCTCAACAGATGACCGCTCAATCTCAGAATAATATCATAAATCCACAGCAGGTTATTAATACCATGATGCGAGATAATTCAATAGCGGCCAATGCTAGTCATGTGCAAGCTCAGGTAAATATTACGATGATGATGATGATGATGATAATAATAATTGAATTTTTAATGATAATTATATTTATATAATAAAAATTAGGCATCATTGAAACGAAATGTTGATGGTATTGTAGTCCAGACATCACCATCACCTAATAAACGTCCGAGAATGACCCCCGATCAATCAGGAAACTATTTACACGGATCTTACAATGCTGCTCAAAGACAACAAATGACGTTAAGTCAAAATGTGGGCCAGAATATGGGAAGTCAAAATAATTTGATCTTGACTACGGTATGTTTATAATGTTTATTAAAATTTGGACCATTTTAAATTATCGTTATAATAATAATTAAAATAATATTTAAATAATTTCAAATATTAATAATTTATTTATATTTCAATAGCCAATTGGAAACATTACATCATCACCCGAAATGACGACTAAATCAAGAATGCCTAATGGAAAAAAAACTCAGATGAATCAACAAATTCAATTAACACGACAGCAACATTTAGCGCATCTAAATAATCAGAACAAAGCGATATCGCCCCAAAATAACCAAACTTTAGGAGTAGGAGGAGGAGGAGGACAAACACCAGTCCAGAACGCTCATGACGTATCTCAACTTAATACACTCAACGTATCCGCACAAGAAACTAACAAAATCCAATCCTCTGTGATGAATATCCCAGCCAATATGCTAAATATGACGGTGCGACATCCCAGTGTACCCGCCACAACTAATGTTAATCTTTATAGCGGAATTATTCCTGGTTATCTACCGCCCCAAGCACAGGCACAAGTACAAGTACAAGCGGGCAGGGTTAATGTAAGACCAACGATCGACATGAAGGAAATTTCCAAGCAGCGTACTCATATGGGGGGTCCAAATTTAGCTCAATTACAGGTATATCAACAACAACAACAACAACAACAACAATTACAAGCTCATCTACAACAACAACAGCAGCAACAACAACAACAACAACAACAACAGCAACAACAACAACAGCAGCAGCAACAAGCAGCTCAACAAGCAGCCCAACAAGCAGCCCAATTCCAGCAACAACACGTTCATCAATTACATCAACAAGCCCAAGCTCATGCCCAAGCAGCTCAAATACATCAATTGCAAGCTCAAGCACAAGCACAAGCGGCACAATCTCATGTTCCTAATTCTCTTCAAGTACGAACACCTGTTCAAGTACAAGCGCAAATTCCACAACAAGTACAGCAAACATCTAATCAAGTTTCACAAACTCCCACTCAAGCACCACAACAAGTGGTTAATAATAATAACAATAATAATAATAATAATAATAATAATAATAATAATAATAATAATAACAATAATAATACATCACAACAACAGACACCAACTCCTCAACGATCAACATCAACTCTATCACGAAAAAGTAGTGGTAAGAAAAAAGCGGTGACGACACCGGTTGCACAACAGCAACAATCACAACAACAATCGCAACAATCACAATCTAGTGGATCTGGATCTGTTAATCAACCCCAACAACAACCACCACCACCACCACCTTCAATGGTAGTTAATAATGGTGGGCCATCATCAACGAATCAATCATCATCATCATTGTCATTAGGAGCGATGGGAAATTATGATTTGCCATCAAATATGTCATCAGGTTCAATTAATTTGAATTCCAATTTATCATCAAATCCACTGGATTTGCATATCGGCGACATTTGTGATTATCAGGGAGATCCATTTATAGATTTAATTCAACACGATTCTTTTTTGGAATCAACAGCGGAAGATTCACCTTTCTTTACGGATTATGTTAATCTAGAATATGGAGATTTGGATTCTAGTAATGGTGGAACGAGTTCATCCGGAAACTAAAAAAAAAATGCTAGACTGAAAATCAAATAATATCATTATCAATATACAATATCAAAAATAATAATAATAATAATAATAATAATAATAATAATAATAATAATAATAATAATAATAATAATAATAATTAATAATAATTAATAATTTTAATATCAATGTACATAATTTTTCTTTTTTACATTTATCTTTTGGGCTCCCAGCTGTTTCTTTTTTTTTCCTCAATTTAATTCCCTCAACTTTTTCATTTTCATTTTTTTATTTTCTTTTCCTTTCCCTTTTTTCTTTTTTCCATTTCTTTTTTCTTTCTTTTGTCGTAATTATTGGTTTAATCCTATAATGGGTTTTCAAAAGTATATCTTATCAATAATAACATATATGTTTTTTTTTAATTATCATCATCAAATGGTCGACTTGTTAATATATTAAGTTTGATTAAATACTTTTTTGGTATATACACAATAGATTTTTTTTTATATTCACCAGGTTTTAGTTATTATTTTTTTATATATATTATTAGAATGTTTATTATAATACTTTTTTTTTTATATTATATTATATTATATTATATTATACACATACTTATATTATATACAGCGGGATTAAAAATTCCCAAAAGTCATCAATTTTTATATTATACATACAAATATATATAAATATATAAATATATAAATATATATATAAATAAAATATATTTATATATATAAGATTTTATGAGTTTTCATATATTAAAATTCATTTTTACATAATTTTTTTTATTATCAAAGAAAAGTATTATTTAGAGGAGTAGGATTATTTTCAAGGAGGATATTTTAGTAGCATTTTTTATTATAAAATATATTATTTATGAAATAATAATAATATAGAATATATATACTTGTATATATATATATTATTAAGAAGAATTTTATAATTAGTAATCATCATCATCACCATCATCATCACCATCGTATTTTATTATCATCAAATCGAAAAGGATTTTTTTGTTGTTGTTGTTGGGATCACCTCACCTTTTTTTTTCTCTCTCTCTCTCGAAAAGGATTTTATTTTGTTGGGACAAAAAAAAAATTATCAATTTTTATGTAGGATATATGATTCATTCATCACCTTTTTTTTCAAGTTAACAAATAATATTTTATGATTTCATTTTTATTATTTTTTTTTAGTTTTTTACATATAAAAATTTTATATTCTTTTTAAAATTAAAAAAAAAAAAAATCGTTTCGGTGGTTGGATAATAATAATTAATAAAATTGGTGGTTAATAATTAATAATTAATTTTGGTGATTAATTTTTAAATGTATTTAAAAAATTAATAATTGGTGGTTAATTATCAATATATATTTTTAAAAATTGGTGGTTGGACGAATAACAACAACAACAACAAAAACAATAATAATTATTTTCAAACATCAAATTAATTTTCATTATATTTCACGAAAATACCGTTCACCACGCGGTATTATCAAAGTTGTAATTAAAAAGTTTTTATGATATATATTGTATATATGTTATATAGTTAAATAGAGTGATAGTAGTAGTATAGCAATTAGCAGTATTATTAATAAATAATATTAAAAAATAAAATAAAATAATTGCGTAAGTATCACAAAATGTATATCTTTCAATTCAAATAAAAACCAAATAAACCAAATTTAGTTCGAATTTAAAATTTTAAATAAAGGTGAAAAAATTCCATTATTAAAATACCCAAAATGTCATTATAGTATTATTTATATATGCATATTGAATGAAACTTTGATAAACTCTATAACTACGGATAAGGTTATGATGAAAGAAGTCAATTTTATTACTATTATTATTATTAGTAAATAGTCCCCCTTTTTTTTTTACAAATCCATTATTAATTATTAATGAAGTCAATAAAAAAAAAGACTAATTAAATAGTAAATAGTAATTATTATTATAAATTACCTTTACTTTTTTATTGTTTATAAATTTTATTTTTGGTTTCTTAAAGAATGATCGACTTCTAGGATCATGAAAGAAATTAATAAACTAGAATAGAAGGATTATGACTTTTTATTGGAAACCAGGAAATACTTTGGTTGCAGGACGAGAAACGAGACTGCAAAATGAAAAAAATTTTGATCTTATTAATCCATAATCTAAACATAACTCTATGAAATTTGAATACAAATATATATATTTTTGTTTTACTTTTCATTTCTCAAGAAAAAAGGTATTGCCCAGCTAGTCATTCTTCCAATGATATCTATAATAAACACATAGATCAGATTGGAAACTGGAAACTGGAAGTTTTATTATCGTACGAAGAAAATACTTGACAAAATAAATAAAAAAGGACACTCAAATTATGGAAGGTATAGCATTTTCATTTTTATGTAGAAAATGTAAATTTAAGTAAATTGAGTAAATTAAATTAAATAATAATAATAAATTAATAATAATAATAATAATAATAATAATAATAATAATAATAATAATAATAATAATAATAATAATAATAATAAT